CCACTCCTGAGGAAAGGTTACTGCAAAATCCCATTCCCTCCCCACCCCATTAACCTGCTTTCCAGCTCCGTTCTCCTGTGCAGGGCAACAAAAGAAGATCAGCTGGGACTCAATGGGAGGCAGAGAATAGGTGGGGGCGGGGCCAGTCAGAGGCGGGATTGGCCGGTTCTCCAAAAGACTCAAAATTTCCTCTACTGGTTCTCCAGAACTGGTCAGAACCTGCTGAATACCACCTCTGGTGGCAACCCTTCAAATATTGGGATACTGCTATCATGTTGCCCCTAATTCTTCTTTTCCTTAGACTAGCCAAGCCCAAATCCTGCAGCCGTTCCTCGTATGTTTTAGTCTCCAGGCCTTTGATCATCGTAGTTGCTCTTCTCTGAACTTTTTCTACATCTTTTTTGTAGGATGGGGAATTTTTGATTGGGGCTTTTCTGTAACCCTGACGTAGACCTTGATTTACAATAGTTGACTGAGTGACCGTTCAAAGTTACACCGGCACTGACAAAAGTGACTTATGACCGTTTTGCACACTTACGGCCATTGCAGCATCCCCATGGTCATGTGATCCAAATTCAGACACTTGGCCACTGGTTCATATTTATGACGGTTTCAGCATCCCCGGGGTCACGGGATCCCCTTTTGTGACCTTCTGAGAAGCAAAGTCAATGGGGGGGGAGCCAGATTCACTTAACCAGGTTACTAACTGAACAATTGCAGGGATTCACTTAACAATGGTGGCCAGAAAGGTCCAAAAAATGGGGGTAAAACTCACTTAACAATTGTCTCGGTTAGCAACAGAAATTTGGGGCTCAATTGTGGTCGTAAGTCAAAGACTACCTGCATGCAAAGAGAGATAGGACTATTTGTGATAGGTTAAAGCCCATAGTGGTATAAAACTTTCCCCTAATTCTAAAGGACGGAGAAGAATTGCGGAGATACACTCATAAGACACAAAAGCAGAGGTGGAGAACCGGTAGCGGAAATTTTGAGTCATTCGGAGAACCGGCAAATCCCACCTCTGACTGGAGATTTTACAGTATCCTCCCCCTGCCATACCCACCAAGCCACGCCCACAGAACCGGTAGTAAAAAAATGTGAATCCCACCACTGCACAAAAGGAACATTTGGCATCTTCAATGGAATCTCTAAACTTCCATTCAGGTGTCACATTGTTATGATCATTCAGTTTTGGTGATCTATTTGTCCATGCAGATTATCCCACCAAGGTTAATAGATATGGCATGTTAATGAGGTTCCCACATGCCACAAGTTATTAACTTTTGCTATATTCTCAAGCATTAATTAAGAAACAACTTGGAAGCTGGAATACTGCATCCAGTTTTGGTCACCATGATGTAAAAAAGATGTTGAGACTCTAGAAAGAGTTCAGAGAAGAGCAACCAGGATGATTAGGGGACTGGAGACTAAAACATAATGAAGAACGGTTACAGGAACTGGGTATGTCTATCAGTTTAATGAAAAGAAGGACTAGGGAAGACATGATAGCAGTCTCCCAATATCTCAGGGGTTGCCCCAAAGAAGAGGGAGTCAAGCTATTCTCCAAACAAAAGCATCTGGGGGTAGGAGAAGAAGCAACAGATGGAAACTAATCAAGGAGAGAAGCAACTAAGAACTCAGGAGAAATTTCCTGACAGTGAGAACAATTAACCAGTGGAACAACTTGCCTCCAGAAGTTGTGGATGCTCCAACACTGGAAGTTTTAAAAAAGATGTTGGATAACCATTTGTCTGAAGTGGTGTAGGGTTTCCTGTCTAAGCAGAACGTTGGACTAGAACAGGGGTCGCCAACCTTTTGGACCTCAGGGACCACCAAACTCATAATTTTAAATCCCGGGGACCACTCATATGAATTTTGACTGACAGTGGTTTGCTGACGTTGGTGGGAGAGAGAGAGATCTGATCTAACCTCCCTCTCTCCCTCTTTCCTCTCTCTCTCTCTCTCTCATACACACACACACAAACACACAGAAGCAGGAGTGGGATTCAAATTTCTTAACAACCGGTTCTTGGGTGTGGTCTAATTTATGTGTGTGGCTTGGTGGTCATGTGATGGGCTGGGCATGGCTTGCTGACTGGGCATGGGTTGGTGGTCATGTGACTGGCTGGACATGGCTTGTATGTAAATATTATAAAAATTTGTGTAAATATTTATTTTTTTATATAAAAAAGAGCAACTTTTATCCAAAATCAGGCAAAGCAGGCAGATTGAGTTGCTCACAGAATCACAGATTCACTTGGAGATCTGTGTTTCTGCCATCGGCTATCTGAGTCTGCAACTGAATAATAGAACCTTCAGTCCTGCGGGACTGAAGATCTAAGGATTAGGTAGAAAGCAAGACATCTAATGGTTTCCTGCTTTCTAGCTAATCTAAATCTCCCAGCACAGCAGAACAGTTGATGGTTGGGGGAAAAAAGAAGGAAAAATAGCAATTTAGCTGGCAAGTTTGCCAGTTAAGGAGTGAGTGGGAGGGGAGGGAGGGCCATGTGGGTGGTGCAACCTTATGTTCCCGCGCAGCCTGTATTGTTTTGGGGGGAGTTCTGGGCGTGACATTTCTCTGCGGACCACCACCAGTGGGCCGCGGACCACCTGTTGGCAACCACTGGACTAGAAGACCTCCAAGGTCCCTTCCAACTATTCTATTCTATTCTATTCTATTCCATTCCATTCCATTCCATTCTAGTTTTAAAGTGAGATACACAGTAAAGTTGCAATAACCAAGACATGGAGAACTCTCTTAGGAGGGAATGAGATACAAAAGAATGCAATTTGTCCCCAACTGGTGGGGGTGGGGGGGAGTGTAACAGCAACAGGAGTTGAAGAGAACTAAATAAATGAGTGTAACTTATCCAAGGAGACAGGCAAGGAGGCATTGAGATGATACATATAGTATGTCTTCTCCACAGTAGAGACATAAGCAGACCCTTTGCAGGCCAAAGATAGATTAGATAATGGAAAGTGACAGAGAATAAGATAAGGTCAGAGCCCGGAGAAGCAAATAAATAGGTCCGAAGACAGATTCAGAAATTAGAATTGCTGGATGATTCATTCTACCATGCAGGACACGCCAACGGGAAAACTAGAAATCTTCTGTAGCAAAGGAAAAAAGGGATATGAAAAGAAATGTGAGGCTAAACTAAACTTCGTCTGTCTGAAAACTGCAGGATCGAAACTTGAAGACAATTAGCCTACGTTGGTTTTTCTTACGTAATTGGTATGATAGATGGCCACACATCCAGTTCTTAGCCACAGGATCTCTGCCACATAGTGATAAATATGAGGCTCAGAGAGAGAGAAAAGGATAGGAAGAAACACTGATAGCTACCCATTCTCTGAACATCGTCCATCCTGGGCACTGAATGAGGTAGGGATCCTGTGGGAAGAAAGAGTATGCGATCATAGAATTAAAGGATTCATCATAACGACTGCGAACAATTGCCGGGAGTGACAAATGTTGAACGAACAGGATCAAGAATTAATGTTACTTTATACTAACCAATAATTTGGTTAACTGGAACATTTTAAATATTTGAGATGGCATCTTCCCTCAGCCTTAGTCAGCATAGAGAATGGCAAGAGACGATCAGAATTGTAGGGTAGAGTAGAGTATAGAGTAGAGTAGAGAATAGAATAGTAGAATAGAATAGAATGAGGAAGAAGAGTATAGGGAATAGAATAGAATAGAATAGAATAGAATAGAATAGAATAGAATAGAATAGAATAGAATAGAAT